TGGAGCCTCCCGCTGCTGCGCGATTTTTGTTCTCATCCTGAAGCAAAGTTATTAACCAGAGGTACTATTTCTGGGTTAGTGGAGTCTGTAGACCTGAAGCATCTGTAACCTGAGGTACCACTGTATTTGAAAAATCACTGTAAACAACTAAATTCATTAGCAGGATTCATTTAGAACTCGTAGTTGAAATTTGCACTAAGCAACAGTAAGGGATTTACGCGTCTTTCAGAAACACCAGTGTTTAATCTCTGGCTTGGCAGAAGAAAAACATAAGTGGAAGCAATGAAAAGGTGACATGAAAGCACTCAGGAATCTGGACGCAACTTCCCCATTTCTTTAATTATGGCAATTACTCTGGTTCTGGCAGAGCTCCAGCACATACCAGGACAGCGTCCTTGAAGCCTCATAGCCTGCAAACTGCACACGGATTCTAATTTAAACACACACAAAAGTAGGTTGTTTCATTAACCACTTATGGGGGAAATAGTTGTTATTATTGACGTTGGAGACAGAGGACTGGGCAGTGGTCAGTCCCTTTGCCGGCCAGCATCTAATCAAGGAACTAGCCCCAAACTGGGAGCAGAGAAAAGGCAAAGAAACTTGGGGTACTTTTATAGCTCTGTTTAGAGTATGTAATGTTTTGATAATATAAATGTTTTAAGTCTTTTGTATCAATTCAGTATATTTTCTTTTAATTGTCAAATGATTCTGTGTACATTGCAGCAGCCTTTGGCTATGTGCAATAAAACTGACTGACTGACTGACTGACTGACTGACTGACTGACTGAAACATGAAACCAGGAGCATCCCACCCTTCTGTCCTTGTAGTGAGGTGCTCTGGACCACGCATGTTCCTCCAGCAGCTCTTCCCCCACCTTCCTCTTCCCTCTTCCCTCCTTGGTAGCAGCAGAGCTCTCCCATTCCCTCCCTCTTGGCTGGCCCAGAGGCAGGACACATGTGGGCATCGCAGCAGCCCCCCAGAAATTTGTGCCGGGGGCCATGGCCCCGCCTGCCCCCCCACACTACACCACTGGTTGGAGGGCAGTAACATTTCCTGCTTCTTCTTTTTTTAGAAAAAAATATTTGTTTTATTTCCAAAAGCAGGATATTGTCCTTGAGGTCTTACTTGAAGTTGGAAAATTACCAGTACTAAGAATTCCAAACAGTAGGGAGGGATTTGAATACTGTTCTCATCATCTATACATGAAATACAGTGGTGCCCCGCAAGACGAATGCCTCGCAAGACGAAAAACTCGCTAGACGAAAGGGTTTTCCGTTTTTTGAGTTGTTCCGCAAGACGAATTTCCCTATGGGCTTGCTTCGCAAGACGAAACGTCTTGCGAGTTCTTGCGAGTTTGTTTCCTTTTTCTTAAAGCCGCTAAGCCGTTAATAGCCGCTAAGCTACTAATAGCCACTAAGCCGTTAATAGCCGCTAAGCCGCTAATAGCCGTGCTTCACAAGACGAAAAAACCGCAAGACGAAGAGACTCGCGGAACGGATTAATTTCGTCTTGCGAGGCACCACTGTAAATGTTTGCCATGAAGTTAAATATTAATATTATTATTATTATTATTATTATTATTATTATTATTATTATTATTATTTTATCCTCGAGTTCTTATTGTTGTTGGAATCAAGAGACAATGGTGTGAGCCTCGTGGGGTGACCTGGAGCCTGGAGGTCCTGAGCTGCCCAGACAAGCAAGTCTGTTAAATCTGCTACCACCTTTGCTCTCACCCAAAACAGATACCAACACAGACTTTCAGCTTTAACATCAAGCCCTCAGTTTTACCCTCCCCTCTCCCTGCTTTGTTTAACAACCAAGCCTGACGAAGAATTCTGGAAAGACTAGAAACCTTGCTTACTATTTTGTGGGCATTTCATCTTTTCTAATAAGGATTTTGGTCTCCTGTGGATTTTTATTTATATTTTTTTTTCATGTGGAGCATGAAATACATATACCTCTGGCTTTTTCTCTACCTCACAGGATTGTCGTCAAGGCAGGGGGAGAACTACGTTGGCCAGCTTGAGCTCCAAGAAAGAAAGTTTGAATTATAAATGTAATAACTGTGTGTTTTTAAATGAATCTGCACTCTACCCGCATTGCTCTAGGACTGCAGAACCAGACAGAGCTCATAAGGCCAAGAGCGAAAACCAACCTTGTTCCTCTCCCTGCTTCTTTCCTCTTTATATTGTGCCTTTTAGATTGTGAGCCTGCGGTCTTTTAATATAATATGTACATCACTTAGGGAAAAGAATAGGTGTATTATAAGTGCTAAATTAAGAATGAGATGTGACTTTTAGAAGACATCTGAAGGCAGCCCTGTATAGGGAAGTTTTTAATGTTTGATGTTTCACTGTGCTTAAAACCACCCAAGCACCCATTATTATAGGAGCCAACTCCTAGGGGCCAAGGTCTCTTCAGCCCCCCCCCTAAAATATTTGAGGAGGCCTGGTCCCCCAAAGTTGATGGACATTGCCATTCTTGTGCACCACAACATGCGATCAGTTATGCAGGGCGGGGCTTACCTGCCCCCCATTATTTTATTCAAGTTGACACCCCTGATCTAATGCTAGTCCTACTCAGAGCAGACCCGTGTCTAAGACTGTGTACACACTCCAGTTTATTCTGCATCCAGTCCACCCCTGATACTGGTTTGAGAACTGGCATACACTCGTCAACGGCAACCTGTGTCTACCCTGTCTTTCTCTCTCTTTACAAAAAACTATGCTTTGATACACCCCACCCCCAAATCAGCTTCAATCAAAATTAAAGAAAACTAATCAACCAGCTGCGTTTTAAGCCAGTTAAATGTTCAGTCTACTCTGAACAGAACTTAAGTTGGCTGCAAACCAACCACCATCATCAATGTCAAGCGCCATCTGGCTCTTAAGCCACTATCTTAAGAGCCGGGGGAGCAAGACCAGGGTCCAGGTTGAGTAACACTAAACTACCTTGGCTATGAGTCCTGAAAGACTCGCTCCCTGCCTTACAGGCCTTTTCCCACCTGGCCTGGGAGGGCAGGGCTGGACTGACTCCAACTGCAAAAGCTGAGGCTGCTGAACAGACACTTCCACTAGGGCTTTGGGGGGGGGTTATTTCTGGTTTTGATATTAATTTTTGGTCCCTTTATTTTAAATCTTATTATGATTTATGTGGAAATTGTTCAAGTTGGTTGTGTACATCCTGATGTTTTATGGCTTGACTTTCGTTGCATTTGCAACTACAATTTTTTCTCCATGTTTTGTGCAGCCTTGAGCATGCTTTTCACTATGTCAAGGCAGTATACAAATAAAACTATGTGCCATGCAATACTGTGCATGTTTTTAGCCTTTCTCTAATTTATCTAAAGAAGGCTGATCGCCGAAGAATGGATGCTTTTGAATTATGGTGCTGGAGGAGACTCTTGAGAGTCCCATGGACTGCAAGAAGATCACACCTATTCGCTTAGAATTAAAAACTACATCTTTAGAAAATACTCTCTGGACTGGAGGCGCAGCCTTTGTTACTGGTTGTCCTTAAGGCATAGGCTCCCGAATCTGTATTTGATCCAATGCCTCTGGAGAGATAATTTTCCCGTCCTAGGGGCAAAAGAGATCCATTCTAAAGTAGTGACCTATGGATTGTCTCCATCAGAATTATTGGAATTGGACCTAGCCACAGCAAAAAAAAAACCTCACTCAAAAACTTGAGGAGATTGACCTACAACAAAACACCATTTTGGGTAGTGGCACTTGCTCACCATTAAATCTTGGCATAGTGCCCTCACAGCAGATACCATCTTATTTGACTTCTTTGTCTGTAGCGGCCCACAGATATGCCTTTATTAAGGCAAGATTTAACGCCTTTCCTTCCAATGTCTTGAATAACAGATTTTCCAATGGTCGGATCTCAGCGGTGTGGTTATGTGATAATAGATCTATAGAATCTCTACAACATATACTATTCTGTTGTTCACTACATTCAGTTTCTCGGATCAGATTTTTGTCCCCTTAATTATTGGAAATCTCAGGTGACTCCTTGGAAACACAGCTAATACATTTATTGCAAGATTCTGATCCGAGTAGGTCCCTTTCTGTTGTCAGATTTCTGATAACAGTATTAGCCTATAAAAGGAAAAATGGATTACTCTATGATTATTGATTTTGCCTAAATAATATTGATTTATACTGATAATTTGATATTTTAAGCGCTATATTGTTCTTATTTTAATGGAATTTAGAAACTTACGGTTTGAGATGTACTTGTTTTAAACGTAATTTAATCTTGTTATACTTATTTTGCTGTATGATGTATTGAATATGGGCCTATGGCCGTAATAAACTATCTATCACACCTATCCATTCTTAAGGAAATCAGCCCTCAGTGCTCACTGGAAGGACAGCTCCTGAAGCTGAGGCTCCAGTACTTTGGCCACCTCATGAGAAGAGAAGACTCCCTGGAAAAGACCCTGATGTTGGGAAAGATGGAGGGCACAAGGAGAAGGGGACGACAGAGGATGAGATGGTTGGATGGTGTTCTTGAAGCTACCAGCATGAGTTTGATCAAACTGCGGGAGGCAGTGGAGGACAGAAGTGCCTGGCGTGCTCTGGATCATTTTGCATCGCTCCCAGAGATGGTTCGTAGGAGGAATGAGGAAGATCCCCTAAAAGTTAGGCATTTTCCTGCGAAGGATTATGCCATAAGCAAGCTTATGAAAATGTTTTGTCAGGATCATCTCAGAAATTAACTTGAAGAAGTGCCTGGCGTGCTCTGGTCCAGGGGGTCACGAAGAGTCGGACAGGACTAAACGAATAAACAACAACAAAAATTTATCTGCAAGCGGCCTTGAATTCCCGATCTGGGGAGAAAACAAATGATAATGATGAAGAAGAAGAAGCCCGGCCACGCCCCGGGGATCAGCAGCTGGATGGGTGCGGGCGAAGATGAGCGGCTCTGCGCCATAGCTCCGCCCTCCCTCCGCGTTTTCTCCGCCACGCGGGCGCGGTGGCCAATCTCTGCCTCGCCAGCGCGGAGCAGCGGCGCCTGGCAGAGCGGAGGCGAGCGCAGCTCCGCCGCCCTGGAAGCGCGTGCCCGGGTGTCCCATTGCGTACACGGAGCCGGAGATCGAGACAGGCGGAAAGCGAGAGAGCGAGATCGCCCCTGGCAGGGTCCCCTCGGCCCTTGGGATCCTCGTAGGAGGAGGCGCGCAGGTGGGTTCAGCGCTTGGGGATGCTGGCGGTGGGGGAAGAGAGCGCAGGGAGGGCTCCGGGCTCCAGAAGCGTCGGTTTCTTGGCCCAGCTGGCCGCTCTCTAGCCCGGAGAGGTGGGTTGGGGGGGCACCGGAATTGCGGGGCTTTGGCGGCACCCCCGACTCAATGCCCCATTGTCCAAGTGTCCCTCCGTAGGCTGGCCGCGCTGGCCGAGGGAGGGCTTTGGCGTGCGCTTTTACGCACGTGAAAATGGAGAGGACGCGGAGGGGGCCCGGAAAGCCAGGAGACCGTTGCAACCTTCTGGAAGGGTGGGCTCGCTGGCGGCCGGGCGAGGTGGTTGGAAATGGGGTTCGAGGGCAGGGATGCGCCCCCTCCTCCGCGTGGAGAATTCTGCCTCGCCACCAGCTTTCCTCTCCGCCCTCCAAACCCACACCAGCCTCTCCCCTCGCCGTGTTAGCAAAAGATGCGGGAGATGCTGCTTTAACGGCCGAGCGATGGGCCTAAAGATTGCTGTGGAGAAGGGAGGAAAGCTGCCCCACACATTCTGGGTCAGGCCAGTGCCGGATTTACTTATAAGCTAAACAAGCTGTAGCTTAGGGCCCCACTCTCTCGGGGCCCCAAAACAATTTTAAGGGGGAGAAACGGGGTGTACATTTCCAAAATATAAGATAAAAAAGAAATAAAATACTGTAAAACCTACTACATACAGCAACAGTGTTTTGTGTTGTGTAGGCTCCTATGATGTAAGCAGCCTGCTAGCCTGATCCCTCACTAGTTTGCTGTTTTTTATATATAGGGTGCCTATATTCTGCATGGAGTGGTTGCATTAGTTTAATAATATACATATTTTGTTATGTGCAAATGGCTTTAGATACCTATTAGGTCCATAAATTACCATTTGGCATATATTCAACACAAAAAAACAGTGACAATTGGTTGTTGACAAAGGACAGCTGGGCATATAAAGGGCCCCATTACCTTCAGTAGCTTAGGGCCTCATCAAACCTAAATCTGGCCCTGGGTCAGACCGTTTGTCCATCTGCCCTGGCATTTTGCTGTATAGACGCCATTTAAAGCGCACAGCCAGCAATCCTGGGAACTGTAGTTTGTTAAGGATGCTGGGAATGGAAGCTCTGTTTGGGGTAAATTACAGGTCCCAGGTTTCTTGTGGCGGGGGTGCTTCAAGGGTTTGTGCACAGCCAATGTCTGCTTTGGTTGGCAGTGGTTTGCAAAGGTCCTACGTAGACTCCTTTCCCAGCATCCATTTTACAGTGGTACCTCGAGTTATAGACGCTTCAGGTTACAGACTCTGCTAACCCAAAAATAGTGCTTCAGGTTAAGAACTTTGCTTCAGGATGAGAACAGAAATCGTGCTCCAGCGGCGCGGCAGCAGCAGGAGACCCCATTAGCTAAAGTGGTGCTTCAAGTTAAGAACAGTTTCAGGTTAAGTACGGACCTCCGGAACGAATTAAGTACTTAACCCGAGGTACCACTGTACAGTCTTGTATGTTCCTTACGACTGAATCACTGAAGCAAAGTGTCTGCTTTGCCACTGAAGTATGGTGGTCCCCCTTCTATTGTGGTCCCTTTTCTGGATAACATACCATGGAATTGCCCCCTTTCCACACCTTCCAGGCTTGTTTTCCAACATTTCCTTTCTGCATTTTAGCTTCTCTCTCTCTCGTGGCAAGAAATCTTTGCTTGCTTATAGCATGTCAGCCATGCTTCTGGGCATTATATAACAACCTTTGACACCACGACCACCTTGGTTGGTTGCACAGCCCTCTTGGAGCAAAGAATGTTGCTTTGGATCATTTTGCATCGCTCCCAGAGATTGCTTGTAGGAGGAATGAGAAAGATCCCTTAAAGGTTAGGCATTTTCCTGCGAAGGATTATGCCACAGCAAGCTTTAAGGTGCCATGCACATTTGCTTATGAAAATGTTTTGTCAGGATCATCTCAGAAATTTGGAAATTTGCAAGGGATGAAATGTGCATTGAATTAATGCATTTGCAATCGTTCTTCACCTCTCTGGGCATCAGAAGTGAATCCTGCTCACGCAGCAGCAGTTACAGGGTTAAAAATATATGCAGTTCCAAGCCAGCAGTTTTGCCTGTCTTCTGGCTCCACAGAAACCCTGGTTTGTAAAGGGAGCTCCTGTCACTCTGCCATTGCCTGGTGATTCCCCTGAGCAGCATTCCCCATAGGTTTCCAACCATTGAAGATTGGTTGCCATCCTCACTCAAAGCAACTCCCTGTATGAGCACCTTGTGGCAAAACTGTCACTAGATCTGCTGCCATGATTAGTTGATAGTTAAGACAAGGATGATTTGAAGTTTGGTAAGTCAAAATCAGAAATAATATATTTACCTTGTGTATCAATAATGATCTCAGAGTGCAGCAAAAAACCAACCACCAGCTAACACCTTTGCAAAGCTAAGCAGGGTCCATTATGGTTTCTATGACAACCATCAAATCCTGCACTTACTTAGTCATTAGCAAAATGCAAGCTCAGGCACACCGCTAATGGGCTTTACGATTAGAAAGGTCATAGTTTGCTATATCTAACAGTGCTCATGTATTTTTTTTAATAGATGTGTATAGCTTATGATCTATTAAAAAAAAATACATGAGCACTGTTAGATATAATTTTTTTAAATAGATGTGTATAGCTTATGATGGTTGGATAGTGTTTTCGAGGTTACCAGCATGAGTTTGACCAAACTGCGGGAGGTAGTGGAGGACAGAGGTGCCTGGCGTGCTCTGGTCCATGGGGTCATGAAGAGTCGGACAAGACTAAACGACTAAACAACAACAACATAGCTTATGAAGCAATATCCTGCAATCAGATGGTTGGGGTTTTTTATATTTGCATGACAATACTGAATAACTTTGTGAGTACGATAAATACTTTAACGGATTCCACATTGATAGGGGCATTAAGTAAATTTTTGTTTGGTTGCCTCAAATAAAAGGTATAAAACACTCAAACCTGCAGTTAAAAAGCATGCAGGATATTGCTGCCAAAGACCTAAGGTCCAAAATTCATGTGACAGTAAAATGATGCGTCCCCATACCGAATAAAGTTGGACTTGTAGGTCACCATACCAAAAAGGTTGGAAGCCACTGCCCTAGAGAGAACCCCCCAGGGCTTTGCCAAAACACTCTCTTGCTATCATAACTGTGCCATGCTTAAAATGAGGTCAGAAAAGCTTTGCTCAGATTGATCTGTCAAGTAATAACATTCACCACAGATTTAAAAAACATGAGCTTTTGGTGAGAGCAGTCCAGATTAAAGAGGTGGTTCTGTAATTTTCTACAAAAATTCTGTGCCGTTGTTCCAAATCATGAATTTAGTGGAGACAGAGGTGGTGGTTAGAGCAGGGGTAGCCAGCATGTAATAATGTGTATACAGCCTAAGTTTGCGCATAACACTAGCACATACCATTGATGCAGACTGAAAGGGTGATGGTTCAGTAAGAGGCATAAGTAACTTGGTGGCAGCACTGCTGTTGCAAAACATCTTCCTCACTTTGAGCTTTCACAATACTGATGGGAATTGAGCTTTTATATGCTGTTCTGTAATTTGGCAGTCCTGTGTGGTCAAGGCCTTAATGCAGCCTTTGGGCCCAGTGAGACTTAAGTATTAAGTTCCCTTGTGCCAGAAGGAAACAAGTGGCGCCAGCGAAAAATCTTGCAGAATGGATTGCTCTTGTGCAGGGTGCCAGCCAGCCAGCCATGCCCTTCCCCAAGACACTCCATTCCATTCCACTCCACCCCACCCTGCATTCAGTCAGCATTTCATGGTCGCTGAGCATACTTGATTCTCGCGCAGTGCCGGATTCATGAATAAGCTAAACAAGCTATAGCTTAGCCCCCCCCCCCCAATTAAAGGGAAAAAACTGGATATACATTTCAAAAATATAAGATAAAAAGGAAATAAAATAAATCCTACATGCAGCAAGTGTTCGGTGTTGTGTAGGCTCCTACGATGTAAGTCTGCTTAATAATTATTTAACTATTAATATACTTCTTCGTAATTGTTTTTCACTATTAATATACTTCTTAATTGTATTTCAGTTCAACAATTAATTTGATAAAATATGTATTTTGTTATGTGCAAATGGCTTTAGATACCTATTAGGTTAAGGTTACCAGATTTTTTTCAATGAATCCGGGGACACTTTTCAAATTCAATGGATTTTGTATGGGGACTGATCTGTAAATCCGGGGACTGTCCCCAGGAAACAGGGACATCTGGTAACCTTATATTAGGTCCATAAATTACCATATAGCATATATTCAACACAGAAAACAGCGACAATTGGTTGTTGACAAAGGACAGCTGTGCATACAAAGGGCCCCATTACCTTCAGTAGCTTAGCGCCTCATCAAACCTAAATCCGGCCCTGTTCTCATGGGACAGTTGGGTTCTCCCCAGAACTCCCTGAGAGCTTTTGCCCCCTTAAAGGGTTTCCACCCGCTTTTTGGCAAGGGGAGTTGCACTTCCTCCAAGCTTGTTGGTGCCTTTCTGTTGCCTGTGGATTGTGCTGTTTTGGCTTCATAAGGATCCACAGAGAATGTGCTGCGTATTACTACATGATTCTCAGCAATGCCCCTTAGTTGAGGTTTTGGGGAAAGCATGTTTGTTTACATCAGTTTTCAGTGCAATCCAATGCATGAATACTCAGAAGTAAGTCTTTTTGAGTCCAGCAGGCCCTTTTCCCAGGTCTGTGTGTAGTCATTAGGGAGGCATGCATTTGCCAATTTCCATTTCTTCGTTTCTCATTTTTCCTATCTTACGTTCAGTTCTCCACATTTCCACATCACTTTGTTATTTTTCCCCTCAAAAAATCCTCCTCGTGAAAATTCAGTATTCTGGTGCACTTTTCTCCTAACGCACACATTGTGTGTGCAGTTTTGCCTAATTCACACATTTTTGCAAAGTAGTTTTTCTTAAGACAATTTTTGCGTATTGTTTTCTTTAATTTACACGTTTTAT